TCTCTGGAGGAGACTGGGTGGGGACACGTTAAGAGAGACTTAACTTTCTATTTACGCACTTCTACTTGAATTTGTTGCCATATGCATGAGTGTATTTTTCAAGAAATGAGCTAGCTGAAAACAAAACAAAAATGACAATGCTTGCTTTTGTCTGTCTCAGAAGACTATTTTGAGAAAACAGTGTGAGATAATGTGCCTGAAAGTGAGGTGAAAACTGGAAAATGCTATGTCAATGTGATGCATTATTAAAATAAGAGTGTTTGACCTACAAGATCTAGAAGCCCTAAATGTATATGGTTGCTGAAATAAATCAGTGTGGCTTTAGAGTATTTGCCTAACAATGGTAATTTTAACAATAATATTAACAGTAGCACCTATTTATGACAGCAAGTAGTACTGGGGTATTAGCAGCATCATTAAAGTCATAGCACCGGGGTCCCATGAAAAAAAGCTTCTCTTCTAGAGATTAATTTGTTTTCCATTTAAATAAAGGGTAACGGTCTCTCCCCCAGATTTTTTGCTTTGGAGTTCTAATTATTTTGCAGCTTTGTAAAATTAAATCCAATGTTAAAATTTCCAGTGTTTTAAGTATTTTCTCCTTCCTCCCAAGAGGAGGAAAATGTTAAGAAAATGTTCCTAAAATAGATTCCCTGCGTCTTTCAATAGACATTCCACTGGTGAAAAATATTCATCTGAATGGAAACTTAAAAAAAATAAAATCAATATGAAATTTAAAGTCAAGTTAATTTCACAGGTGAGAATTATGTATATATGTGTTTTGAAACCAGGCCCAGAGAAGAGAAACCAGGTGGGGATGAACGTGATGACAAACCCTCCTTTCCCCTCTCCCTTGTTTCCCACAAGCTGGAAACTTTGAGTCAACCTTAAGGAAACATAGAGTTCCTGCCTGTGGCTCAGTTGTGAAAAAGGCGGTTCTGTAATTGTGTAGAAGTTTGATTCCACACAGCATACACGAGAACCATCCTCAAGACTTCTCTGCTCTGGGGTTTGTGAGTCTGGACACACAGCTGCAGGTTACCTGCTTTCCAGGCACAGCCCTCTTGGTAGCAGCCCCTAGACGTGACCTAGAATGCAAAACCCCTCTGGGGTTTCTCTTCCCTGTGCAATTTTGCAAGCAGGCTATCTCAGCTCACTCACCATCTCCCAGTACTTCTGGTTTCTGGTTTCTAAGCACCCCCTGGGGTCCCTGACAAATCAGTTTCCATCTCTGCAGTCACAGACCTGGATCGGAAAGCTGCAGTGGCTTTGTGTACACGGCTGGTCCCATCCAGCCCAACAGTTTCAAGTCCCAGGGGCCGTCCGTTTGGAGCCGTGCTGGCTTGCTGCCCCTTCCTGACTCCCTCCCACATCCTGGACAAATGGAAGTGCATTTGGGACGACGCCATTTTCCTCCCCACTTCAACTCTCTAAACTGGACTGAAAAGAGCTGCTTTCCCCCAGCAGGGGACTCTGCCTGTCATCCTGATTTCTTCTGTTGTCTGGAGAGCAAAATGCAGAAATGTTGACAGTGCACCACTCTTTCCCGTTTCTCTCAGAAAAGCCCTCTTCCACGCAGTGGCTGGTGGGTGCAGTGACTCGGGGCTCTTCGCTGCTCTGGGCAGCTTCTCATCTCTCTGGGCAGTTTCTCACCTCTCTGCCTAGGCCACAACTGTGGGGCCAACTGACATCCTTTAAGGTCCAACGACCCCCATTTCTGGGCTCTCAGATGTCTGCCTGCAAGCCCTCAACAAATAAAGTACATTTTTTACTGGGTGTGTTTCCCCTAACAAACTAATAGCCCTAGGGAATGCCTAATCTTGCAATAGCTCAGGCTGGCTTGTTTCAGACCATATCTCCACCTTATCAGAGTCATATGTCCCACTGCCCCTTCACAGACCCTAAATTTCTTACCTCACCTACAACCAATCAGAGACTTGCGCACAAGCCAATCAGGCACCTTGTGATCCGACCTTATGAAAGACCCCCAAACCAGCCCTCGGTGCTCATGCAGGTACCTCTTGTTGGTGTGGCCCACTGTTGTCTATTGTAGTGTAACTATGAAGCTTTTCCTTGTTCTTAAACTTTCCTTGGCCTCTGGTAAATTCTTTTACCAACCCGCATCACCAACCCACCACTGAGTTATGTCCCACAACACCATTTCTGCCGGCTGCAGAAATCTCTGCATGTTGCAGAAATCTCATCTCTCTCCGGATTTGGAGAGAACGATTTGGATGCTTGAAATCAGATTATAAAGCATTCCTTTTCCCCAGGGACATAGCAATTCAACCACATGATTCCTGCTAGTGTTCTGGAAAAGGTGGCTGTAAGAGGAGAGCTCTTGGAATGATGCTGTGTTCCTAGGCACACAGACCACCTCCCTGGAGGTCCAAGAGGATGCCTTCACCATAGTTGCCTGAAGACCAAGAATGGAAACAAAGAAACCTCTGCCCTGGAATAACAATCAGCCATCAAGCTCTGATTTTCCCCATCTCCTACAGGCCCCCAAACCACTGCCCTGGCCCTCCAATCCAGAGCAGACATTCCTGCAGCCTGGATAGCTGGGCAAGGAGACTGCTGATGAGCAGTGACAGGCAGCAGGAGACAAAGCTCTCAAGTTTAGTTCCTTTGTCTACTTTTGGTATGCAAATTGTGGACCAATTGCAAAAATGTATAACAAGGTCCACACTGAGGCTTTGTGATCACTGAGATAATAGCTGACAGTGTTCTCCAGCATCAGACACTGTCTTACGTTTGTTAATAGTAAGTCATTTAATCATCAAAATAACCCTTGGAAGTGGTTGATTTTCTTATTATCCTCATTTTATAGTTGTAGAAACTGAAACTTGGAAAGGTTAAGCAACTTATATAGGATCACACATTCAGTAAGTTACCCAAGCACAATTCAAACCCAAGTATTCTGCTCCAGTGTCTGTACTGGGAACCACCACAGTGTTCACCTTTCCCAAGGAGTTTTGGTTCACAGATCTCTAAGGTTTCTGATCTTCGTCCTATGCGATAGACACATGCGTAGTTTGGAAGCAAAAGAGGCTACTCCTGGCTTTATGGAAGGCTGCTGACCAGAAGAACCCAATGTGTGGAAGGGTTGAGATAAATTTTGGTATTGATTTGAAAATGAAATGAAATGAAATAGAAGACAAACAGAAAATACTGAGTAGGAAAGGAAGACGAAAAGGAGAGAAGAGAGGGCAGGAAAAGCAAGCTTGCTTCATTTATTCATTCATTCAGTTAATAAACGAGTGTCTCCCACGTGTCAGGCAGTGCACCAGACATGAGGAACCAATGGTTAGCAAAAAAGGAAGCCAACATTTTTGTCACTGGGGAACTTGTAGTCTCACGGGGGAGAGTGACCTTCATCAAGTAACTACATATGTAAATCTCACATGGTAACTTCTATTCAGTGCTATGAAGGAAAACGTCTTGAGGCTCAAAATGGCATAATAGGGCACCTGGCCTAGTCTATCTCCTGGGTGAAATGTGTAGGGCAGAGGTGTAATGCATTGTCCTTTTCAGGGAAAGGTGAGGTTGAAGCTGATATTCTTGATTGAATAAATCTTACAGACGTGATAGTCATCTTAGTTTTTCATTAGAGGAGGTTTGAAAAGGAACCAGAGTGTATATGATTTTTTGCCTTTAACTCTCCCCAATCTGTTCTAATTTTAACTTCATTTCTTCCAATTCAGTGCCCCTTTCCTTACACTTTGTCTCCTAAATCACTATGCTTCCTCTTCAGTAATGGGTTCTCGTTGCAATTGTCTACCGAAGTACTCATTTGTCAATGATGATGCTGTCACTCCTTCGGCTTCGCAAAAACATCTGGGAGCCAGTCGGCTAACTTCAGTTTCCCTTCAGCCATCAGTTTACCCTCAGAAGTTTAACCTGAACTCAAGCTTCTAATATTCTACTTTGTTTATTAAACTCATTCTCTCTTTAGATTATCTGTAGGCTCTTTCGGCATTATCTTTCTCAACATATACAGAGTATATACTTCCTTACAGAGAGAAGAGGACACAGTAAGTCCTATTTCTTCTATTCTCCTTTCATTCCATATAGGAAAGGCTGGAACACTCAAAATTCTAAGATAATGATGCAAAGCAACTAACTATATGGCAATCTGGAATATCTTACGTCATAGGTAATACTGAATTTGTGTATCCAAGGCAATATTGACTTTCAAATTGTTTTGCTGGAGGTCAAAAAATCTGATTATCTTATAGAACTTTAGCAATTAGGAGTTATATTTAGTTGAAAATTGAAAGAACGATTGTTATTTTTACCACGACTGCACTGTAACTATTCTTTGCCAAAGTTATTCTTCATATGGACGTTGAGTGGAGGCCAAAGTGGTGGCTCATTGCCTCCTGACAGGTTTCTAGTGTTTGGATTTTGGGATTTACAGCCTCCTTGGGAGTCAGCAGGCACCAAGTGAAAAACACACATACTCAAAACATATTCCCATTTCTCCCTTCCTATAGAACTCCTGCACATGACCAGGGCATAAAAACAGACACTGAAGCTGAAGGTGCATGTTTATCATTTCCCTGCAGGACACCTTGGAGGCTCTGGCAAGACCCCTGGTGCAGGAACCTCCTCACTGCCAGGTGCTGAGCCCACTCCTCTTGAAACACAAAAGGGCATCAGATGTCTTGTTTTCAAAATGATGTGTTTCTCTCATTTCTGAAAATGTTTCCCCACCAGAGGTGAGCTGAGACTCTTTCTAGAATTTCCTGCTCTAAGCACTTGAAAGGCATCCTGGGTAACTGTCCTGATCCCTTTCAACCTGAGCTTTCACTTTTGGTGATGGCCTCAGCCTCCCTATACCATCTCCCAAGATAGTCTTGCAACGGTTTCATTATCGAGAAATGTCAAGTGGAAACCACTGTTCAGACAGAAAGTGATACTTTCCTAAGGGTATAAGTCAAAGTAAGTACTGCGCATTCTGTCATTCATATAGGCACCATCAATTGAGCAGCACTACTCACCCGTTGGGGCTGAGGCGGGGGCAGGGGCACATATGGTGTGGTGAGCAGAACAGCTCCGGGCTCTGTCCTACTGGAGCACACCATCTGCCAGGGGAGAGAGAGACTGATCACAATGGTCCCATAAATAGCTGATTACAACTGTGAAAAGTGCTGAGTGAAAGGCAGGAAGCCAGACCAGAGGTGGGTTGGGAGGGTCCACGGTCAGCTGAGATCTGAAGGACATGGCCCTACTTGTGCCTTGCATTTGGCTGACTCCTGCCTTTGTCCCTGCGGTCTGCTCTGGAATGTGGACACCGAGTGGGGCAAGGCCTTCAGGGGGAGTAACTTATCCATGGAGGCTGGTGTAGGTCTTTAGCACTTGGTAGATGATGACACCTGGTCAGCCTCTTGTACCTTTTGGAACCAGAGGCTGAGCTTCCAGAATACTTGTAAATCTTCTTTGGCAGCATTTAAATGATTTCAACAGGGGGTTTGACTAGGAAGTATAACTAACAGTCATTACACTTAACCAAGATTTTAACCACATCATCTCACCTGGTCCTCATGCTTGCCCCAGAGGTATTCTTTTTATCCTGCCCATTTTTTAAGGTAGAAGTAGACAAAATTGGTGTTTCAGCTACTCAACCCTTCACTTCCCTTACAGTAATACTTAATATACTTTATTGTCATGACTTATTTGATTGCATCTTTCCTCACAAGACCTTAAGCTTTATGAAGACAGCTATAATCACCACTATACCCCAAGAACCTAGTAAGTACCAGTACACAGAAATAATTATTTGGTGAAAAAATAAATAAGTGAATGAATGAATTGTTACAAAGAAAAGCTGTATTCTGGAGGAAGAAAAAGACACTGAACTAATTTTCCAGCGGCATGTAACTGAACAAGACGACTTTGTCCCAGATGGGCTGGAATTCAAGGCAACAATAAATGTAAGTGCCAACCCAATTTTTCACATGCCTGAACTGAAAATCTGTAAGAGACATGTGAAACCACAGAACACCTATCTTAAGCCTCTCCCACAAAACTACTACCTCCACCTCTGACTGTTGTCAGCCCTGCTGCCAAGAGATACAATGAGAACTCCCTCCCCCACTCCCATTTCCTGTTCTGCTTCACATCAAGAAAATCTCTGAGCACGGCTGTGGTACATGTCGGAGCTGAAAACGGAAGTTCTGTATGGCTGTTTTAGAAACATGACTTCGTCAGGACAGAGGTAAAGTCGGAGCAGTAATAGCAGTATTAGCCACCTTCCCCACCTCCCTTCTCCTTCCCCTTTTGATAGAAAGAGAACTCCCTCCACCCTCTGATATTCGGTTGTTGTGTATAATCCAATGTCCTGCTTGTCCACAGTGCCTCCCCTGGCTTCTCCACTGGCCGGGGGAAGATATTCAGACCAGAAGAATGAGCAAATAGGAAGACTTCAGGGGTCATTTGGTTATACTGACTAGACGGGGGCATATTCACTGTTCCATGCTTTTGCTCCTGGATCCAAATCAGAGTAAAGGTAATTTGAGAGTCGGACCCATACCATGTCAGCTTGCGGCCGGCAGTGCAATCCACCCAGCTGTTACCCTACCACCTCTGTTGTCACTATTCTGGGGTGTTGAGTTTCCCACCCCAACAACTGTTCAAAGAACTTCACTTAAGTAAATTGTATGAAACCATTTTATAGTGGCTAAGGCAGAGAGGATTTGAGGGTGGGGCTGGATATGATGTGCCTAATGGCGCATTAAACAGAGTCAGGTTAGTATTCGAGGCCTCACTCCGACCCCCTAGACATTGTTGTTATTTGAACAGGAGAGTTATCAAGGTGAGTCTAACAGAGTAGAGATCCACAAAATTTTTTGAGTCCTTAGCAGTCCTATTTTAAAGAATGAATACCCGGGGGAAAAAGTTGGGGTCAACCTGAAAGAGGTCTTGAATTTATTTCTTCAAAGGAAGAAACAGCAAAACAAAAATATGAATGTTTTAAATTTATCTTCTCCAGATTATCCAGTAAAAAAAACTAACTTACACTGGAAGCAATGAAAATACCATAAGAGGATTTATAAATAAAATTATAGTGACTGAGCTTCTGAGTCGACCAGGAATAAGGAAAGTATTTGCTAGTCTCTCTTGCATTCCTTAATTACTTCTATAACTTTAGGCAAGTCACTTCCCTCTTTTAAACCTCATTTTCCTCATTTGCAAAATGATGGGGCTGGGTTGGATAATTTCTAGGGTGTTATTTGTATTTGGTTCAATGAAATATTGTAAATATCTAAAGGAAGCCAGTATAATCTGCTGTTTTCAGTGAAGTTGGCTTCTGAGCTGTCACTAAAAGGGAATTTTTAAATCACAAACCAGTAGGTGGCAATTTCAGTGAAACAATCTGTAACTGAACTTAAATTACACTTTAAAAAGTCCAATCCTACTGGAGAATATCTGAGAATGTTGAACTGCACTGACCATTTCAACATGACTGTATCAGTAGTGGTAATATTAAATGTTACTAATGTTATAATAATATTAAAAAGAGAGCCAACTATGGTAGCATTACTGTACCACAAAGAGAATACAAAATAACATGACCCCTATTATTAGGCATTGTGGGGATCGGTTATTTTTCAATGCCATTGCAAAACATGTGTCATCAGGAAAAGAATGTCTGCTTCAAACCCTGCTAGGAGAACTAAGGCAACTGGAATGTTGGAAGCTCTGTCTCTAAGGATTCAGAAAGGAAGGCTCTTACACAGTTTTATATGAAAAAGTAATTCTCAAGTGAGGTCCCTGGTGTGCCTCAGAATCACCTAGAGAGTGAGAGCGCACGTCCTCAGGCGCCACACAGATGTACGGAATTAGAATGCTAGAAGCTGGACATTTTAATAAGTACCCCATGTGCAGGAAAAGACTCAAGAACCAAAGGTCTGGAAATGTACTTGTCGGGCTTGGGGGCAGCCTTCTTTGCAGAAAATACCACAGTGGCTCTCAGAAGAAAATCTAGGTCCCTTCAAATGAGAAAAGATGTTCCATGTCAATTTATCAGAATCCAATTAGAAATCAAATTCATTATATCCCTTTAGAATAAAAGAGGGTACAGGCTTGGGCACCTGCCTTGAGCTTGGCAAGGTGAGGGTGGCAGAGGACAGTGTTAAGAGCACAAGCAATACAGGCACTTAGTTTTGTTACAACTATCTCAGCACCGCATGACAGGATCTCAATGATAATTTATTAAACGTTTGTACTAGTTTCCTGTTGCTGTTGTAACAAGTTACCACACATTTAGTGGCTTAACACAAGATAATTTATTCTCTTACAGTTCTAGAGGTCAGAAATCTAAAATGGGTCAGCAGGGCTGCATTTCTTTTAGAGACTCTAGGGGAGAATCCTGTTTGCTTGCTTTTCCAGCCACTAAAGGCCTCCTGGCTCCATTCTCCATCTTTAAAGCAGCAATTTGATGTCTTCAAGTCTCTCTTTCTCTTTGGTTGTCACGTCTCCTCCTGCTTCGGCCCTCCTGCCTCCCTATTCTCAAGCCTCTTGTGAGGACACTGAACCCACCTGGATGACTCAGGATAATCTGCCCATCACTATATCTGTAACTAAATCACACCTGCGAAGCCCATTTTGTCGTGTAAGGCAACAATTCACAGGTTCCAGGGATTAGGATGTGGATATCTTTGGGAAAAGGTTGGGGGAACATTATTCTACCACAATGTTGAACAGAAGTTTCCTAAAGTCTCTAAACCTTTGGTTTCTCCTCTGTAAAATGGAGTTTCTATAAGGATTAAATACAGTAATGACTGTAAATGTACAATAAAAGTTAGCTATTACTGTTATATCTTCTAATTGTTCTAGAACCAGATTGCTGACAAAAAAGTGATGTAAATGTACTAACCTCTTCTTTATTTTCTTCTTGCTGGTACTTCATTACCAGGGGTATAAACTTAAATTCAGAGCACCTCAGGAAACTTAAGGGTCTTCTGTATCTGTCAGGGTTTAGTGAAGGAAACAGAAGACTCTAGGTATTTAATTTTATTTATTAAAATATTTAATTAATTTATTATTGTATTATTTACTTTGGCATGGGGGGTAATTAAGTTTATTTATTTTTAAGGAGGCACTGGGGACTGAACCCAGGCCCTTGTCCATGCTAAGCATGTGCTCTCCCACTTGAGCTATACCCTCCCCACTTCTATGTATTTTAAGTAGAAAGAAATGTGATACAGGGCATTAGATAATCCTAAAATCACTGGAAGGACTGGGAAAGCAGAGATCAGCAGTAGCCACTGCAGTGTTGAGTTTGAGAACACACTGCTGTCGTGGACTCTAGGGACCAGGAGACACTGCCAGAGTGAACACAACTTCCTCTCCAGCCCCTGAAAGCTGCAGTCTGGAAATTCGAAGTCTGAGTCCAGCCACCACCTGCCTCTTGACACACTGAGACCTTGTCTGCCATTAGAAACAGTCACAGGAAGATGTTCTCAACTTCACTCCCATACTCCAAATCATGTGTGAGTATATCCAGTTACCAGAGCCCACGAGGCACCAAAAGCCTTGGCATCAAGAGAGTCCGGAAAATGCATATTTCAGTTTGCTAGCCTTGGCTGTAGGGAAGTACAGAGAATGAGACTAAATGCATGCTGAACAACAGTCCACCGTATCAGCAGTATTAGCAGAGGTCTGAGACATAGTATGTGCTCAGTAAATATGTTTCCTTTCCTAAAAAGTGGGTTGGCCAGCCTACAGGTTTCCCATGTTGGAACCAAGTTTGGCGAATGAGTTAAAATGCATACCACTAGTTTAAATAGTAAGAAAGTGCTCAAAGCAGGATCTGGTGGGGATTAACTATGATCAAATATGCACCTTGTAATAAGTGGGTTCTCTTTTCTTCTTTTCCTTTCCTTCTATTCCCCATACAGTTTCTGCCTACCAAATGCAAAAATGGAGGAAGCCTTTGGTTTGGGACTGTCCCAAGCCCATTTAGCCACATTTTAGTACCAACGAACCTCCAACTCTACTGTGCAACGTGGTTTTGGCCACATCAGCCACTCTCTCGCTATAACCTTGAACACGGTGCATAATTCCTAAACCCTCTATCATG